GAATCTGTTCAATTCTATTTTTGGTATAAATGTGCTTCCGCTGTGTAGTCTCATCATCCGGTGTCGTGTGGATTGTTCTCTCCAAGGTCTCTTGTCATTGTGCATGTGTATGGGAACGTGTGAATGCCATGCTGTATCTCATTTCAATCAGGCACATAACAACTGCATGCACGTACTGAAGGCCGGCGCAGCTAAATGGCATCGGGCCTACTGGAAGTGGAGGCGGCCTGGATCCAGGGCCGTGATTGCGATGTAGATTAACTGTCATGCACACAGGCCGTGGGTGGCTGGTCCACAATCCTGGCCAAAACGTGGCCAGCCTGGGTCCCTACTGGATGTCCAGGCTCCCTGCAGCCTCAGCAGGAATGTTCCGGAAGCAGATGAAGGGCTGTACCTTAAAACAAAACCGTCAGCGCAAACGAAAGTGTGCCAGGCCTGAGAATCGGCTGCCGGCCCTGAAACTGGCCGAGACAGGGCAGAGATCGAAACGACACATCCCAGAGTGGACAAAACCTAAAATAGACAAAAATACTCTGAAATCTAGAATAAATCTCAGAAAGTAGTAAGTAAACGAAGTTTAACAAACCAAAATTCAATCCCACACTCAATACTGACTACCTGGGCCTCAACGACTCAACGAGGCCAAAAGGGTGGCGGCAGCCCTGGGAGCCGTGCAACATCTAGTCTGTGTGGCCAGGTCCCGAAACTGGTCCAATGCCCTGGGCCTGGAGGACTCGTGCGGGATCTGACACACCCTGTCTAGGTTACTTTCTCAGTTAAGCATTCCACGACCCAGGAGTCCTATTGGGGAACATGACGGGAGTGATGGTAGTAAACGCTGTCGCTGATGAAGTACCGCTTTCCCTGCAAGCCTCAGGTCAACTAGCCAAGCCAAGCAGGCCGACTGGAAACTGTCAAAAGCTGTGTCTCTACTATTGTATAGGAAGCTATCCTGGAGGTACTATGTCTACCCACCACCTTTTTCTGAGGGAAGCAGGCATACCGTCATGTAACACAACAGACCTAGTGTCCATTCACAGGAGATCCGTTTGTCGGGCTCCAAGAGTAGGACAACGGTAAAAGAGCGCTATCCTAAAAGCACTGAGCTCTACAGAAATGCCTCTGTCTTTGGGTCAACCTATCTTTTGGTCGACCCAGCCTTGAGCCGTGATTGGCCGAAGGGTGAAACCTCTGCTTCTGGGACATCATGATGGGGCCTAAGCATCTTTCACTTGTTTGTTCTATTGTCTCAACCCATCTCCTTTTTTTTTGTTATATCTCTTAAGGAATTTATAACTGTTCTCATTCCAATTACCGGACTCGAAAGAGCCCAGTATTGTTATTTATTGTCACTACCTTCCTATGTCAGGATTGGGTAATTTACACGCCTGCTGCCTTCCGTGGATTGGGTCTCCTCCTGATCCATATCTAGGACTATCTGCGAGGGTGGCATAGCCAGCAGTCTGAGTAGAACAGCTTTTGAATTAGTGGAAGTCTTGTTCGAAGGGAGGCTAAAACAATATCTAAGAGTCGCATGTCCACGGCTTCTGGAACCCGGCAGTTTTTTCATCATGCAGCGCATGCCCAAAAAGTGTCAAGGTGGTGATTGCCAAATGATTTTCTTTCCCTTTCTGTCATTCCCCAATGATCCAAATGTAATGAAGAGTGGGTAACCTGTTTGGATGTGTGTCATATGGCCCGTTAGAATACACCCTGCCCACCATTTCTTCCTGGTAAACGATCTCCATGAACTCGTCCCCATAGAAAAGCGATTTCGTCAAAACCAAAATTTGATGAAATTTTTATTTTGGGTACGGCGTTCTGAAAACATCCTACCCCGTCGATGAATCTCGACTCAGCCGAAGTCCAGATACGTCCACGGGGTATGGCGTTCTGAAAACGCCGTACCCCCTGGACGTATCTGGAGTTCTGAGTACAGATACATCGAGGGAGGTAGAGCGTTTTCAGAACGCTGTACCCAAAATTTCATCAAATTTTGGCCCCAGTTTTTTTTTTGTTTTGTTTTGAAGGTACATGTCGTCTTAGAGGGTGGATGCTAGGCCTCGGGAGGTGTCTGTCGCCATACTCAACCAGTGAGGGGATCGGATGGCTTGTGGCAACCATAAGGACAGTCTTCCTCCAGGGGGTGTCATTTATGACCTGTTATATCCTAATCTTTATCGCGAGTCGAGTCCTACAGCGGTGCGACCCATATCTCTCTATCTAGACCTAGAGTCCTAGACCTACACCAACCCGCGCCTTCCGAGGGGTCGTAGACACTTCCCTCCGGGCGCTACCATAGGGACACCCCGAATCTCGAGGACGACCTGATACAGGAGGGGTCATGGACATCCACGGTCATTCCCCCCTGTGTCACATCAATGTGACAACCCTCCCTCCCCTGCCTAAGATGACACCCTACCTAGAAGCCCTCCCCAGACTCACTCGGCCCCTCAGTGCGAACTCAGACAGACAACAACCCAGATGAAGCCCAGCTGTTACATGCCCAGTTGGGCAATGTATATAATAACCGAGGATCCGCAATGTGATAAAAAGGACTGAATGGACAATGCAGAGCAAATGGAATCTCAACAAGCAATGTGCATTCCGATACATACAAAAGGTGCTTTATAGCGCAGTGGAAGACTTAGATACAAGTCCTGACCTGACCGGGACAGACCTCTGTCACGTAGTGCAGGATAGCATAGCAGAATGCTAGAATATCAATGATTAGCCTACTCACTGTTGCACACGGACTAAACATATGTCATTATCATCACAAGGTGTGAAGAGACCTGGCGCTGTATACAGGAAGAAGGTGCCAGGCCCTGATCATGCACAGACGAAGAGGATGGGAACAGACGAAGAGGAGGGGGAGAGATGGGAATGTCGTCAACACCAAGTCTTTGTCACAAGTCCCAAATAATCCCTTGTCAAAATGTCTGAAGCCCAAATGTCGAGTCTGGATCCAATGTCACCAAGCTCTCTCTTTCCCTCGTAGTCTGCTGATGCAGTGAAGCCAGATAGTGAGAGGGTGAGAGGGAGATGGTGGACTGAGAAGAGGAAGAAGAAGAACTCTCTCTCTCTTTCGCATGCCAGGTACTAAGCTGTGAAGATGGCGCTGTGCTGCAGGTACCTCGAAGACGAAGCTGGAGCAACGACGCTGCAGGTGAGTATCCCTGGCCTCCGCCCAATCTCTCTCTCTCTAGTACTACTCTAGCTATGGCGCCCAGCGCTGAAGACTACAGCTAACGCTACTAGCGCGCAGGGCTGAAGACTACTGCTAACGCTACACTACTCCTGCAGTGCTCCTCCAGAGCGCTGCTGCCGAATCCTGAAGACTACTGACTGCCTCCTGCCTGCCCGTGAAGTGCATGGGAAGTCCCTATGTACTACCTCGGCCTGCCTCCTGACTGCCTCTGACTGCCTGCAGCTGCAGGGCGGCCAGTCCAGGAGGCTGCTCTTGCCAATGCCAAACTGGGCCAGGGTCTGGCGCTGCAGCTGTCGTGGGAACAGGCCAAAAATAGCCTGTTCCTAAAACCCTGGTTTGGTGCCTGAGTTTCAGGGCAGGTCGGTCTGATGAAAGACCGAAAATGGCCCTTCGTTTCAGGCTAAAAAGGCTACTGCCATTTTTAGTCTGAAACGACACAGGGTCTGTAGGCCCCTGTTTTCCAGGCTTTTGAGCTGAACAAACACGGGGCCTGTAGGCCCTGGTTTTCAGGCTTTCAGCCTGAGGGACGCAGGGCCTGGAAAATGGCCCTCGTGTGCAGGCGCAGCATGTAACACCAGCCCACAGGCATCGTGAGATCAACCTGAAGCCCACCAGTGGGAATCGTATATGCCTAACACCCAACCGCTACCACTACTCAAAGGGGTGTAGAGAGCGGGGTCTACCCAGGACCTAGGATCGTACAATGTGGGAATGGACTCTCGTGGGTGGATCATGAGGCCGGGAAACAACCATGGTACCCATACTCACCCAGATACACTCACAGAGCAGCCCATATGAACGAAGCGGCGCACACAGGCAGGCCCACAATCCCTACACAGAGTCCTATCTACCCATCCCTACCTCCCCCTATCTATTTATCATCCACCCCCCATCTATCCCTTCTTCCCCTCCCCGTGACGAGTACACGAGACAGACCTAGAGATCATCAGACCATACTCAACACACAACCCACACACAGTGTTACAATCTGAGCATGCACACAGGCCCCGTTCCGGGGCCCCGACGGTTGCTGGGGGCCTCCAGGCTGCACGCCACTTAGGCACTCGCCCTGGAGGCCCACGACCAGCCTTTGGGGCCGCAGGGATCGAATTGAAGCAGCATTTATTTATTTATGTAGTTGTTTATTTATTTGCTGTTCTATGTTTGTCTGTTGCAGATGTCGTTTCGGACTTGCAGTTTGTCCGAACAGATTGGGCCTTCTCCGTTCGCGATCAGGCCATTTCAGGCCAGCTTCGGGTTTGTCCGGTAGCGGACACTCCCTCCTGCATCAGCAGGGAGGGCCTGGACGTCCGGTAGGGACCCAGGCAGGCCGTTTCTAGGCCTGCCCCAGGAGCAAGTCGTGGGCACAGCACCCAGGTCCAGCACTACGTATAGCTGGGCCAGCTCCTGGGCAACACAGTCGAAGTAGCTCACTGCGTGAGCGACACGCTGCAGGAACATCGCGATACCGCGCTGCGTTAGGGAGTAGAGGCATAGGTAGGGAGAGGGGCGGAGGCCATACCTGCAGCAGCGCACGTACCTGGGCGCCATAGCCACACGCCGGCGACCTGCAACACAGCAAGACGGCCGACACGTTAGTACCAGCGGGCGGCCATCCCCGCACGTAAGGACAGCGAGGAGGACGACATCATATTCTCCTTCTTCCTCCGTCGTTCCTCCTTCCTTCCTCTTCTTCTTCTTCTTCTTTTTCTTCTTCTTCTTTCAGAGAGAGAGAAAGAGAGAGAGAGGTTACGGGCAGAGGTTATGTCGGGCTATGAAGCCCAGGATATGATTTGACATTTCTGTGGCTGACATTGATTGGACATTCGACGGGGAGACTATTTTTGGACTGCGCCATCGCGATCTTGGTCTTCTCCCTCGTCTCCATCCTCGCCGTGCTCCTTCGCCATCTCCTTATCCGTGGCATATTCCCATGTGCGTGCTCAAGGAGGGACCTCTCGTCTATCTATGCGGTCCCTCCCTCCTCTCTCACATGTGTGGTGTATGATGGGGTGTCGCGTCAGTATCTGACAGGTCAGTTCATATCTTTGAGTCTTCCGCTGTGCTACCTTGTGCTATTTTTCTATGTATCTGGACGTACATTGCTTGTTGATGCTCTGCTGACGCTGCATTGTCCATTTGAGTCCTTTTCATCATTTTGTGGATCCTTGGCTCCATATACATCGGTCCATCGAGCATGTATCACACAGACACTCAACACTCATCAGACCTTTGCTCAATGCAGTAATTCTTCACCCTTTGCTCGATGAATCGATGCTTGAATGTGGCAAGCTGAGTCTTTCTCAGACCTTCACACCACACATTCACTTACACATGGGACTACTAGCTTGAGTGTTGTACCTCTATACCTTCTTGCCGGCAGAATATAGCTTCTGGGGTGGGGTGAAATGTCCCACAATCGGCTTCAGTTTCAACCCAGCTCTGTTTACCTATTGGTTAAGTGATCCACCTCTTTGGCGGCAGGTCATAGGTTTGATTCCTAGTGAGTTGATCTGGGGACTTCTTGCGTGTGAGCAAGCATGCCGGTAAGCAGTTTGAAGAGTTCGATGCTGTTGGAGTAATGACGTTAATCGCAAAAGTAATAATGGTGTTTCTCTCGAGGGAATAGAATGTGAAAATTAACACATTGTTTGCTTGTTTTGTTGGTTGGTTTGGAGCACAGGATTTCGTCAGAGGCTATCCTTATGATTGTGGTGCATCTCTCGCGTCAAGTCTCCTGAATCATCGCTGCAGAGGGTATAATCTTCTGGTCAGAATGTGTGTGTGAGTGCTCTTCGACTCAGCTGCAGTGAAGCAAGATGGAAACAGGCAACCCAGCACCTCTGCAACTCTGCTAAACAGCAATCCTTCTTGGGTGTGATCTTGTAGTTTGTGAAGGACCCTTGTGAAAATCTGTTTAGCAAAAGTGCAACAAAAAATCCTCAGGACAAGCTTACTGCCTGCTGCCTGCCATTGACTGGATTCCACAGAGTGTGTGGGTGGATTCGGTGATCCGCACCGGGTGTCCTCAGGGGAAGTATGGCGAGATGCCACCGCTTTCACAATGACCCTGCGGACCCGGCTATGCAGTTCTCAGAGCTAGGGGGGGCTACAAACAAGGTGCCCAGGGGGCCCCTGCGAAAGGAGTTGTGCTTAGAGCCAATTTTCAGCGAATGGATATGCTGCCTCTGCGCAGATCTCCTTCATGACCCTGTTTCCATCTTCCCTTGTCAGCATGAGGTTTGTGCTGCATGCTTTGCATCACATTGCTACAGCTCGAGTAGCATGTCTGTGACCTCTGGAAGATGCCCAGTTAAGGGTTGCACGAACTGGCACATCAGCGGGTCAGTGCCAGCTCGGGATACAGCCACACGTATTGCTGCTCTGAGAGTTCGCTGCCCAAATGGGCTCTCATTTGATGTCACGGAGTACAGGTACCGGCGCATATCTGCACGAGGATCCCAACCGATGCCCTCCTATGCAGCAGTGCCTGGGCAGTCGTTGTTTTCTCCACCTGGATGGGGAGGAGGAGGAGGATTTCCACCAGCAGCTGTCTATGGCATGCCTGGACCTGCTCCAGAAGGCGGAGCTGGCGCTCCTCCAGCCGTATGTAGAGAGGATATCACATTTGCCACGCTTGAAGAACATCTCCAAGTGTGTGGTTTTGCACTGCAAGTGTGCAGGAACAAAGCATACGGCTGTACCAAAGTTGTGATGCGTCAAGAAGTAATTGCCCATGACCAGCAATGTGAGTGGCGCCTGGTCGCCTGTGCGTCTTGCAGCACACGCGTCCCATTGGCGGAGATGGAGGAGCACAGGCGCACCTTCTGCCTTTCTTCTATCATCCCTTGTGAGTACAAGGATCTCGGGTGTGACCTCAGTCTACCGAGGATCGACATGCCTGCTCACGTGCAGGCTTGCGTTTTCAAGTATTCCGAGGTTCAAACTCTGCTGAAAGAGTTTGAAAAGGAAAAAAGGTGTTTTGAGGAGACCCTGAACAACGCGAGACAAGAGACTTCAGGGTTTCAGGCGCAATTTGACTACTACAGCAGAAAAATCCTGGAGGTTAAGGCAGAGATTCAAAGCATGGCAAGCGCATAAAGAGGGTTTAAACCGCAAGTACGTGTCAGCCATCAGCCGGGGCCACCTTTCGGAGGCGCCCATGGTCGATTTATTTTATCGACGGTGCGCAAGCCTCCGGAATTTTAGTAGAGAGGCTTAATCGGACTCTCAACTTGGCTGGGGCCATGTACTGATGCCTTAAGAGATCCGGAAGATGGAAGGTGCACTGCATATGCATGTGTGTGGCAAATAGGAATCTCTTCATAGTATCAAAGGTAAACAAGTCATTGTGCGAAGAACCCGACGGTGCTATTTGAAAATATCCTTAAAACCACCAGTTCACGTGAGCCTAATATGCTGAACGAAGCAACCTTCCACGGCTGACGAGTCTCCGACTGCTTTTCTCGACAGTGGCCTACCACGTTCGCTACCGGCCCGGGCCCAAAGCGTCATGGCCTTACCACGTATACCAGTTCGAGCCTGACTTGGGTTGGTGAAAACTGGTGTTTTAATATAAAATAAATTTAAAAAGATGTTTGAAAATAGATTAAATAATAAAATATCCTTAAACCACCGTTGCACACGAGCCTAAGCTGAAAGAAGCTATCTTCCAAGCCTCACGAGCGTCCGACTGCTCTTTTCCACAGCGGCCTACCGCAGTCTCTACCGGCCCAGGCCCAAAGTGTCATGGCCTTACCACATATACCGGCTAGAGCTTGGTTTTGGGCAAACTGATGTTTTAATATAAAGTTAATGTGCTAGATCATTGTGAAATATCGGTATGTGAAGAGATGACCGTCTTTTTTGGCCTTGTTACTCGAGCATAGCCACGACGCTAATTGGAAAGGAATGATGGGAATTGCAGCATCGTGCATTGATGGGAACCGCTGTTCAATCGCACCATTGCTTCTGCGAGAATGGCAACCAGATCAGCTTCCTTACCGCGGAAATCACTTCAGCAGAACTAGTTTTGGGGGAATTTGGGGAGGAGAGCCGCAGGGGTGAATATGACAGGGAGCGGTGACCGGAGCGAAGGACCGAATTTGAACAGGTGGGGTATTGCAGAGCTTATCTACACCTGTCCAACTTTGGCGACGACTTCTTTGCTGGTAGTCGTCTCACGATGATGTTGGTCCTCCATGCAAGGTATGCACGCCCTTTCAAACCTGTGAATGGAAGCAGAGTGTGATGGTCAAGCTTGGTGACGACTCTTTGCAATGCCTTGTCGATGGACGTGAGCAGCCCGATGCACACGAGAACACCACCAGAGTCTCCGTCTTTTCTGGTTAAAGAGGTGGCCTCAACTCCTGGCACACTTGTACGGGCTGCAGTCGGGAGTGAAAGGGGGTGATGAATCCGCAGCTTGTGGAAGGAAGTTGGTATTCGAAGGAGGAACACTGTATAATCTCTTAATCTACTCGGAATCATGGTCAAGCAATATTAATAACGGCCAAGTCGTGATCTTGCTTGTTTTCACTCTTTGGCATGATAAGCTGGCAACTGTGTCTTCCGTAAGCGCTGTTTATTCATAGTAATGGTCAGGCTTTGCAAGTCCTAAGGACCTTTAAGACACACATCTGACCACTGCTTGATATGTCAAGATGGGATGGGATCATAGGGCTTGCGCATAGCAGGTACGATACCCCTGTGTATCGTGCAAACTGGGTCCAGGCGTAGCTGTGGGGTACTGCTGCAGGAGATCCCTGTGGATCTGCCTGCCTGGAAGAATATTGCAAATTAGTCATTACTAAATTAGTGAATAATTAATTCTATGGGAAGATGTTATGGGATAGTAAAACAATTTGCAATTCTGAGGAGTCCTATTGACTCCTATAGCAATTTTCTCGTCGTCGTTAAGGAATTGTAAAAATTTGTAACCCCACGATCGCACGAGCGGTCCACCGTGTCATGTTCTAGAAGGATCTGATTGTCTGGTAGACATGTCCGATGAGAATAGGGAATGGGTCAAGAGTCAAGACTGTGTCGCTGGATGTCCACGGAAAGAGTGTGGATGGCTGCTATAGAGTCTAGTCTTTGGCCATAGCTCTGCTGAGGGATTGCAGAGTCTAGGCTTTGGCCAGAGCTCTGCTGAAGGATTGCATTGCCAATTTTTGTAACCACTCGTCCGGTAGACGTGTCTGGTGGGAATAGTGAATGGGGGCAGATGGTCCAGACTATGTCCCTGGATGCCCAGGGAAAGGATCTAGATAGCTGCTATAAAGTCTCGGCTTTGGCTATTTCTCTGCTGAAGGATTGGATTACTATTTGCTCTGACCATTGGTCTGCTATAGACCTACGGCCACGTGGATCACTTTTATTTATCTATCCACGATCCCACATGGCTTTCATTGTTGTAGACATGTCTCGTCACAAATGTGAATGGGGCCAGATGGTCCTGACTATGTCTCTCAATACCCGGGAAAGAGTCTGAATGGCTGCTATGGAGTCTTGGCTCTGGCTATACCTCTGCTTCAATTTTTCCCTCCTTTCCGCCCCCCCCCCCCTCCCCCCCCCTCTTACCTCTACATAACTGCACTACGCTTGCGGTATGTTCTGTCCTTGATCGTGTCGACTCGGCTCGAGTAATTTTTATATGAAGTGCATGCGCAGCATGGGTATATGCTATGTAGTGGAGCCTATTCCTCCCTTAGCTAGGGTAAAGGATTCACACTGGAACAGCCAGGGCAAGAGTTCAACTTCTGATTGATCACAGCATGTTAGGGTTGTTTGAATGTCTTTCGGATATAAATCGATGCACACTCTCATCTTACACTTCAGAGGGGACACCATTGGCTGTGTTTTATCAGAGCCCAGCCGGATCTATCTAATCTTGTTTGCTCCCCATGCTTTCGCACCTCAGCGGCAGTAGAGACCCAGAATGCACGACGTGCAGCAAGACATGCTGGAGATGAAGTGCAGCGAGGCGCAAAGAAGTGGGCATCCGATGTCCTTCCTGGATACAGGGAGTAAATCGACCAAGGGTACGAGATAAATCCCCTTCCTCGCCCGTGATATTGCTGGAGCATGTGTACCGCCAAGCACAAGTCTTATGTATACAGAGTCTGCATGACTCCTCTGCGAATTCCGACGCTTGAGCCTCGACATACGCCTTAGTCAAGGAAAAGGACTTGCTCCTCTATTGTGGAGGCTACCGGCATCATTGGGAAGGTTGGCGCAGCTGAAGCACCAGTCCGTTTCCCGGGTAGCTTGTTTGGATGCGCCGGTGAACGAGCCGCTAATTTGTGGCTCAGACCTATTGGAATAAGAAGAGTGGGCTCACCAGGGAATATCGCATCCACGACACTTCGTTGTTTTACCACTGGGCAGCACACTGCAGCAGAAAAAAGAGGCTCGGACAAACTGGTGCGTTCATGTGTTGGATGTGTTGCCCAGGAGGGAAATGAAGGAAATCTACAGTGTCATCAGCCGACTGGCCAGCAGTAGTATTTTAACTCATGTCTTTGTATCAACACTGCATGGGTGTATCATTTAGCTCTATGGGCTGGGTGTTTTTCTTAGTGGTACACTGGTATTATTACTATTATATATTATACATTCCTATTATTATTACTTTGATGTTTTAAGTTTTAACTTATTATTATTATTATTATTATTATTATTATTATTATTATTATCCCCTAGAACGCGTAAAAGCGGATCGGTTCAGGGATCATGATAATGTTCTGTGTTGTTCCAATGTTAATGGATGACACGCATAAATCGACAAACAAAAGGAGAAGAAGAATTCAATAATTTGAATAAATAAATTAAAAATAAAAGCACATTAGTGCGGGGGCTGTTTTTACACCCATGACTATCCAGTGTGAGTCGAGCCCTTTGTTTTTGCACCTATGACTGTGCAATAACTTAAAAGGTGTGCGTATGGGGAGATGAGACCTTGAAATCAAACGTTTGGAGGCCTTCAAGGCTGACTCTCAAATTCGCTTTGTGTTAGACAAAGAAGAAGGGGCCGGAAGTCGATGTCGTGACCTCCAAGCATCATCTGCGGGGTCGCTGCTTCTGGGACTGCCATTTGTCTGTCCCATAATCGAACTCACAACTGCAGATGTGGGGTTGCCGTTTGGATGTCCCAAAACCGGACTTCGATTTGTCTTTTCTTTTCCTGTTCTTCTGTTTGTGGAGTTTAGCATCCTTTTGTTCCTGTTTGTTGTTTAGTTCGTTTTGTTGCAGGTGGATGTAGGGAGCTACGGGCAGCAGTGCAAGGCAAGTTCATTTTGCCGTTTTGGCCACTTCAATGTTTTCACCTTTTTTTCTTGTTGATTGTTGCTACAGTTTTTTCTCACACTCTGAGACGCAAGCATACACATGCACAGAGAGAGCTAACCACTTTTCTCAGGGGTAGAGAAACTCTGGCCGACATGAGTCCTTGTCTATATTGGGGGGACTGTTGGGGTTCAACTTCCTGATGAGTCAGTGAAAGTCCAACGAAAGCTGTGCGTTTTTTGTGGAGTTGTGTATAGTGAATCGTACTGAATACGACAGTGCATACACACACACACACACACACACACACACACACACACACACACACACACACACACACACACACAAAGACACGCTGTCGGGCAGCCGAACCCCAGTCGGCCACCCGAAAATTCCCTAATTGACCTTTAGGCTAAATGATTAAAGGGGAATTTATGGGAACTTTCGTCTGACTCATTGGGAAAAATTAGGGGTCAGGAAGGGACCCCTACTTTTCGCCACGACAAGTGTCGAGACTAGCCCTTGAAAACAACGAGAGGGGCGTCCACTGACGCCTATCGTTTTCGTCCGTTCCGAGGGTTGTTCCTGAAGCGGCTGGCCGCGGTACGGAGATGCGGTAATGGGGCTTGGCGCGACTCTTTTGCATTGTACGATTGGTGGAGGAATGACGCCTCAAAATTTTATTATTTTTAATATCAAAATTAAAAATTGGATAAAGAGTTAAAAATAATAGGAGGAACGAGAATAATGGAATATTTGCTATTTACTTAAATTTTACCGGAATTTAATCTTGAGGGAATTACTCGTTGTTTTCATCATTTCCGATAATGGAATTAAAAAAATGAGAAAAATAATAAAAGATAGTAAAAGAAAAGAAAACCACTGACTATTTATTATTTGATTAAATTTTATTAAAATTACTCGCGGTGGATTTTTGCCTGTAATTATTTACTTACCCCGAATCTGTCGATTCTTTCGATTTCTCGATAATTGTAAACCCTCGCTTGATTATTTACTTACCCCAAATCTGTCGATTCTTTCGATTTCCCGATAATTGTAAACCCTCGCTTGATTTACTTGATTTATCTGATTGTTATCCTCACCTCAACCTGGGTGTTTTGAGTAAGTGGGACCGTATGGTCGCCGTGGTGTAGTTGTTGGTCCTACTTGGGGGCGGTGTCGCCCGACTCTATTATTTTGTTGTGGACACTGGATCGAATTGGGGACGACACTCTGGTTCGG